AGATGCGCACTTTGTACGACTATCCACTCGACCTCATCGTGAACGCGGACCAAACTCCGCTCTTCTTGGAGATGCCGGCGGAGCGCACCATCGATGTGAAGGGAGCGCGTACGGTTCACGTACGCAGTGCTGGATACGAGAAGGAGCGCGTTACTGTCATGCTGGCAGTAACGGCGGGTGGCCTCAAGCTTCCTCCCTACGTCGTGTTCAAGCGAAAGACAATCCCGAAAGTCCCAATTCCTGCCGGTAAGTGAAGCATGTTTACAGTTGACGGTGTGCGTATGCATGACACGCGTCCTGACCCGTCTACACCCTTGCGTTGTGACTGGCAGGTGTGGTGGTCCGTGCACAAGACAAGGGGTGGATGGACGAATCCCTTGTGCAGGACTGGATCACCCAGGTGCTCGTGCCGTTTCTGAAGCCCCTGCGGGAGACCAACGGCCGCCGCAGGGAGGCCTTGGTGGTGCTTGACTCCTACCGCGGCCACTTGACGGAAGCCGTCGGTCAGACGATGCGGATGTTCAGGTTGTCCCGGGCGGTCATTCCAGGAGGCTGCACACCGCTTGTCCAGCCTCTGGATGTGTCGGTGAACCGCGCATTCAAGTGCGGGGTGCGTGCTCGCTACAGCGCATGGTTCGAAGAAGACGGCATCAACCTTACCACTCGCGCAGGTACGGTGATGCCTTGTTTACCGTAGCATGCAATTACATTTTTATAGACCGCGCACGCTTTGCAGATGCACGGTTCTAATCCCCCTGCCGTACATCGCTTCCCTTCCCACAGGTAACCTGAAGAAGCCGCCTGCGGACTTGGTTCTCCGCTGGATCGTCGAGTCGTGGGAAGCTGTCCCCGAGGAGCTTGTGAAGAAAGCTTTCGTCACATGCGGGATCTCCCCCAAGATCGACGGCACTGAAGACCACCTGATCCTTGCCCACTTGCGGGACAAGGGGGAGATCGAGGTCCTTGACGACGTCAACGACCTCGTTGATGACGAGCTCGTCATCAACCCGTTCTACACCGAGGCTCCCATGCCGCCCGAGGAGCTGCAGGCGGCAGAGGCAGATGACGCCGCAGAGGAGGCGGCAGAGGCAGCGGCGGCGGCGGAAGAGGAGGAGTGGAATGCGCCAGAAGAAGGCGGTGAGGCGGAAGAGAACAACGATGACGATGATGATTGGTGGCTCCCTGGCCGCTATGACGGTGAAGAATGTGAGGAGTGGCATGCAGGGGACGATGAGGAAGAGGAGTAGGCAGCAGTAGGAGAAGCACTATTGAGAAGAAACAGAAGTACCGTAGTACGGTAGGTTATGTTAGTAAAGAGTGCTTCTATGGTCTACTTGCTGTGTGCTGCTCATCAATGGTAGATTGTACCTCTTAACTGTGTGAAATGTGACCTAAAATTGCACTTTTGCCGCACATAACACCCACCCCCCGGGTCTTATATAGGATCACCCCAAAAGGGGGGGTATAGTACCAACGGGGTCAAATATAACACCCCCCCCGCACAAGCTACCCGGGGGTGTACAATTCGGGGTGGGTGTTTTATCCGGGGGAATACGGTATTTCACATCTTCGCAGTTGCCTGGTTTCATGGAGTGCCCAGTACACGGTACGGAGACGCTTGCAATGAGCCGAGAATAAAGTTTGTGTTTAGCACTCCACCATGATGTTTCTGTTATTATGCAAATTGTAGCAATACAAATATGGGAATACAAATAATGCGTGCCACCTCTTGCAAGTCATTTTAGAGGCTATATATTCGCCACGATTTAAGTATTGACATCAGAAATTTAATTGCGCATGTTGGCAAAAGCACTAAAAAAGAGTTTGTAAAGTTTGTTATTCTTTTTGTAACCATGTTTACACCATTTAAAATGTTACCAGCATCGTGGTTACAGACTAACCTAGAAATTACCCAAACAGAGAGGGAGATCATTGAATAACTTAAAGACACCACTTCAATTGATTTATAAGGGCAGGTACAACCCTAATCAGTATTACAATTTATGGCTCACAGTCGATGTAACGGAATAGCAGTAAGGGATACGAAAAGTCTGAGCGCCCAATCAAGAGGGGTTCACACACGAGGTGAGATCGATTTTGAGGCGAATGTGATGTGACTTTGCTGTGCGAACCGAATGTCACCAACACACATTCTTCGCAGCCATGTTCATACGTTCGTGCTGACTTTGTAAAGCACCTCGAGCTTACCTACCCCGTGGTTAGCACGAACTAAGTTCATGGTAACATCGAAGTTAGTTTAGACCCCCCCCTTTTTTTGGGACGTATAGCAGAAGAATCAGTACAGGACAGATTTAGAATCTCGCGTTTGGCAGTCAGATTGATCCTAGTACAACTAGTAGTACTACCAGTAGAACGGCTCAGATTGATCTTAGTACAACTAGTAGTACTACCAGTAGAACGGCTCAGATTGATCCTAGTACAACTAGTAGTACTACCAGTAGAACGGCTAAGTAAAGTTTTTTCTCAAAGTGGAAGAAGCAGTTCCACGCCCTGCAACGCGCACACGCAACGGTTCACGAGCTTGCAATAGCAACGAAAGCTCCACCGTACAGGTCACCCGCGCGTTCGTTCAAGGCGTGCCGCGTGTAGGGCGCTCGAGCAAGACTGTCACGTTCGGGCGTGTGCGGGTTTCGGGGACGGCAAGCAAGCACACGGGCAGCGCGCGCGGGGACCATCGACGGGGCCGCGTTGGGCCGCGGCGATGGGGTGGCGCGGCGGCATCATGATGGCGGCGAGAGTGGCGGTGGTGGCGCTGGTGGTGGCGCGCTGCTGCATCATGCGGCCCCTCGCGGCACGCGCTGCTCCCGTGGTGGACGCTGAGAGTAAGCCGTGTTCTGTGCCATCATACCACTCCGCGACTAGCTTGCACCATCATGTTGAACTCGCTGCTGCTTGCCGTACCATCCCCACCTTAATCCCTCTACCCGCTCCCGCCTCTCCCCTTGGCATGGGATGCTCTATGGCATTGTTGGCATGGGTGGAATCATTCCATGATGGTACGGGTGACATGGATGTCTTTCAGCGGACGCTTTGGAGAATATAGCACACGAATGGAACGAGGTGAACGGTACGAGCACATGGAAGAGGGGCAGGGATTGCGACAGCATGGATGCTGTGGAGTGTGATGGCGATGGGCATGTCATTGCACTGTAAGCATGTCATTGCACTGTAAGCATGTCATTGCACTGTAAGCATGTCATTGCACTGTAAGCATGTCATTGCACTGTAAGCATGTCATTGCACTGTAAGCATGTCATTGCACTGTAAGCATGTCATTGCATTGTAGGCATGTCGTTGCACTGTAGGCATGTCGTTGCACTGTAAGCATGTCATTGCACTGTAAGCATGTCATTGCACTGTAAGCATGTCATTGCACTGTAAGCATGTCATTGCACTGTAAGCATGTCGTTGCACTGTAAGCATGTCATTGCACTGTAAGCATGTCATTGCACTGTAAGCATGTCATTGCACTGTAAGCATGTCATTGCACTGTGAGCATGTCATTGCACTGTGAGCATGTCATTGCACTGTAAGCATGTCATTGCACTGTAAGCATGTCATTGCACTGTAAGCATGTCATTGCACTGTAAGCATGTCATTGCACTGTAAGCATGTCATTGCACTGTAAGCATGTCATTGCACTGTAAGCATGTCATTGCACTGTAAGCATGTCATTGCACTGTAAGCATGTCATTGCACTGTAAGCATGTCATTGCACTGTAAGCATGTCATTGCATTGTAGGCATGTCGTTGCACTGTAGGCATGTCGTTGCACTGTAAGCATGTCGTTGCACTGTAAGCATGTCATTGCACTGTAAGCATGTCATTGCACTGTAAGCATGTCGTTGCACTGTAAGCATGTCATTGCACTGTAAGCATGTCATTGCACTGTAAGCATGTCATTGCACTGTAAGCATGTCATTGCACTGTAAGCATGTCATTGCACTGTAAGCATGTCATTGCACTGTAAGCATGTCATTGCACTGTAAGCATGTCATTGCACTGTAAGCATGTCATTGCACTGTAAGCATGTCATTGCACTGTAAGCATGTCATTGCACTGTAAGCATGTCATTGCACTGTAAGCATGTCATTGCACTGTAAGCATGTCATTGCACTGTAAGCATGTCATTGCATTGTAGGCATGTCGTTGCACTGTAGGCATGTCGTTGCACTGTAGGCATGTCGTTGCACTGTAAGCATGTCATTGCACTGTAAGCATGTCATTGCACTGTAAGCATGTCATTGCACTGTAAGCATGTCGTTGCACTGTAAGCATGTCATTGCACTGTAAGCATGTCATTGCACTGTAAGCATGTCATTGCACTGTAAGCATGTCATTGCACTGTAAGCATGTCATTGCACTGTAAGCATGTCATTGCACTGTAAGCATGTCATTGCACTGTAAGCATGTCATTGCACTGTAAGCATGTCATTGCACTGTAAGCATGTCATTGCACTGTAAGCATGTCATTGCACTGTAAGCATGTCATTGCACTGTAAGCATGTCATTGCACTGTAAGCATGTCATTGCACTGTAAGCATGTCATTGCACTGTAAGCATGTCATTGCACTGTAAGCATGTCATTGCACTGTAAGCATGTCATTGCACTGTAAGCATGTCATTGCACTGTAAGCATGTCATTGCACTGTAAGCATGTCGTTGCACTGTAAGCATGTCATTGCACTGTAAGCATGTCATTGCACTGTAAGCATGTCATTGCACTGTAAGCATGTCATTGCACTGTAAGCATGTCATTGCACTGTAAGCATGTCATTGCACTGTAAGCATGTCATTGCACTGTAAGCATGTCATTGCACTGTAAGCATGTCATTGCACTGTAAGCATGTCATTGCACTGTAAGCATGTCATTGCACTGTAAGCATGTCATTGCACTGTAAGCATGTCATTGCACTGTAAGCATGTCATTGCACTGTAAGCATGTCATTGCACTGTAAGCATGTCGTTGCACTGTAAGCATGTCATTGCACTGTAAGCATGTCATTGCACTGTAAGCATGTCATTGCACTGTAAGCATGTCATTGCACTGTAAGCATGTCATTGCACTGTAAGCATGTCATTGCACTGTAAGCATGTCATTGCACTGTAAGCATGTCATTGCACTGTAAGCATGTCATTGCACTGTAAGCATGTCATTGCACTGTAAGCATGTCATTGCACTGTAAGCATGTCATTGCACTGTAAGCATGTCATTGCACTGTAAGCATGTCATTGCACTGTAAGCATGTCATTGCACTGTAAGCATGTCATTGCACTGTAAGCATGTCATTGCACTGTAAGCATGTCATTGCACTGTAAGCATGTCATTGCACTGTAAGCATGTCATTGCACTGTAAGCATGTCATTGCACTGTAAGCATGTCATTGCTGTACGCCCCAAATTGTTCCCTCACCTCTGTTTCCATTCTCTTCGCATATTTGAGACTGGTATTTCATTCGACTTCAGTCCTCCCTCCCTCCATGCCATCCGTCTCCTCCCACAGCTCCATCAGCGAGTGCACCCTCATCAGCTCCCTGCCCACTGCTCTCCTCGCATTGTCCCATCTCAAGGATCTGTGAGACTCCTGCTATGGCCCTCACTCGTTCCATCCCCATTCCCCCCCACTTTCTCGAATTTCCTTTGCTAACTTCTTGTCCTTGCTTGCACTGACTTGTCCTTGCTTGCACTGACTTGTCCTTGCTTGTTCCTTGTGCTGTCTGTCCACGTCCATCCCATTTCCCTTACCCTTATCGTCCCCTTCCATCCATCCATCCATCCATCCATCCATCCTTCGTCCACCCATGTTTCTTTCTCCTGCCTGCATTGCCTGCAGTGATTTGAAGCTGTGCAAATCTGCAATTCTCAGCAGAGAAGGTTGGGAAAACCTGCCGCAGCTCACTCGCCTGTGAGTGCGCTCACGGTGGGGGGGTTGCAGGTGGGGGAGGAGTGCATGGTAAGCAAATTGCAGTGTGAGAGGGTGAGAGAAAGGGTTTGGGGGTAAGTGAGTGAGCGAGGTGAGAGAATGAGCGCAAGGGATGGAGCAAGATGATGCCGACTCCATCAAGGACAGAGTTTGTTCCTCCACAGGGTCTCCGTCTCGACTCCATGTCTGTCCATCTGGTCCCTCACACCCCATTGCCATGATCTCTGTGCTGTGCTCCCACCTGTACTGCCTGCTGCTCCCCACTACGATCCATCTCCTGCCACTCGTTTCTCTCCTTCAGCCTCTCGTCAACCGACTTCTCTTCCTTTGAGCACCCTCTAATGTTGCTAAGCCCTACGCATGCATGGTGTATGCATGGTGCATTGATGGTGCATGCAGCCATTTGTCAGGCAACCATAAACTCGTATCACTACCAGAGCAGCTCTCCCAGCTGCAGAAGCTGCAGTCTCTGTAAGGCCGGGTGAGGGGCATGTGATGGCATCGGATGGCACGAGATGGCATTGGATGGCATGTGATGGCATGTGATGGCATGTGATGGCATGTGATGGCATGTGATGGCATGTGATGGCATGTGATGGCATGTGATGGCATGACATGGCATGGATTACATGTGATGGCATGGGATGGATGGCATATGATGGCATGAGATGGCATGGGATGGCATGTGATGGCATGACATGGCATGGGATGGCATGTGATGGCATGTGATGGCATGTGATGGCATGTGATGGCATGTGATGGCATGTGATGGCATGTGATGGCATGTGATGGCATGTGATGGCATGACATGGCATGGGATGGAATGTGATGTGTTGTGCATGGCACTGCAGCATGAAAGGGAAATTCCCATGGTCCTTTCTTTTCCCATGTTCGCTCCTCTCATGACTGCTGCTTCTCTCTTGAATGCTCGCATTATCAGGCACTTCTTGTCAAATCATGGATTGTCTGGGGAGCTGCCTGCGTGGATCTTCAGCCTCACAGACTTGACTTCACTGTGCGTCCTGCCTGCCATGCACCATTTGCCATGCAACATTCCCCTTGTCATGCATGTGAAAGCTTAAAGTTGAACCAATGATACAATTAGGTTGGATGAGAAGCTTGAAAGGGAAAGGTTGGGTTGACCACAAGTTGGGTTGGCCTCACTTTGGAAACTGAGGTAACATAAGGTCAAGTGGGTTGGGTTAACCACACTTTGTGGGAAGTGAGGCAACCTAAGGCCAAGTGGATTGCATTTGGGGGCTCCACCACAATTAGGTTGGATTGGCACCCCACAATGCAAGACTACACCCAAAGTTGGGTGTTGTCCCAGTCCAACTGTACACCACAATTGGTGTACAGTCACAAGTGTTGGCATGCTAGAACATACAATTCTAACAATGCACCAAAAGTCGTGCACCAAATGCCATGCAGCATCAGCCATGCAGCATCTGCCATGCCATGCACCACGCTTGATCAAACGTATTTTTTCCACATTATGTGTGCCCCTATCACCTGTTTCTAAACCCAACATCTTTCATTGCACTTCTGATAATCCATTACACCATTCTAGTTCGTTAAAGGACTTTTTTCCTCTTCCGTGTGTCCGCCCAACCCTCTCCATGCGCCAGAAATATCAACAACAACAACTTCTCAGGCTCCATTTCAGAGGCAATAAGCAACCTCAAAAAGCTGCGGAACTTGTAAGTGGTGATGTATACACATGCACTGCAGGCACATGCCCTACTCGTGCTGCATCCGAGAACACGCGTTATGAACCTTCCCACATCCAGCCTCCACCATGCCGCGACTGATCCAGATGCCTCTGGGAGCGAATGCTATCAGGTTCCATCCCCGAGTCAATAGGAGTGCTCACCAACAATACCTTCCCTTCCGGTCTTTCCTCTCCAATGATTCCCCTCCCCTCTCTGCACTTCCCTTCTCCCTGTTTCCGCCCAATCCACTCCATGCACCAGGAATATTGCGCACAACAACTTCGCAGGCTCCATTCCAGAGGCAACTTTTGAGTCGACTAAAAAGTCACCTCGACTCAAAAGTCACCTTGAGTCGACTCAAAATGTTTCCGCCCAATCCACTCCATGCACCAGGAATATTGCGCACAACAACTTCGCAGGCTCCATTCCAGAGGCAACTTTTGAGTCGACTCAAAATGTTTCCGCCCAATCCACTCCATGCACCAGGAATATTGCGCACAACAACTTCGCAGGCTCCATTCCAGAGGCAACTTTTGAGTCGACTCAAAAGTCACCTCGACTCAAAAGTCACCTTGAGTCGACTCAAAATGTTTCCGCCCAATCCACTCCATGCACCAGGAATATTGCGCACAACAACTTCGCAGGCTCCATTCCAGAGGCAACTTTTGAGTCGACTCAAAAGTCACCTCGACTCAAAAGTCACCTTGAGTCGACTCAAAATGTTTCCGCCCAATCCACTCCATGCACCAGGAATATTGCGCACAACAACTTCGCAGGCTCCATTCCAGAGGCAACTTTTGAGTCGACTCAAAAGTCACCTCGACTCAAAAGTCACCTTGAGTCGACTCAAAATGTTTCCGCCCAATCCACTCCATGCACCAGGAATATTGCGCACAACAACTTCGCAGGCTCCATTCCAGAGGCAACTTTTGAGTCGACTCAAAAGTCACCTCGACTCAAAAGTCACCTTGAGTCGACTCAAAATGTTTCCGCCCAATCCACTCCATGCACCAGGAATATTGCGCACAACAACCTCGCAGGCTCCATTCCAGAGGCAATCAGCAGCCTCAAGCAGCTAAGGGAGTTGTGAGTGGTTATGTAGAGACATGTACAGAAGACACATGCACTGCACACACATGCACTGCACACACATGCACTGCACACACATGCACTGCACACGCCATGCACATGCATGTGAGGCCATGTGTTATCAACTTTCCCACACCCAACCTCCACCACTCCTCTCTGCGCCACTCATGATCGCAGATTCCTTGGGGAGCAAATGCTGACAGGGCCCATCCCCGAGTCAATAGGAGCGCTCACCAACCTGGAAGATCTGTGAGGAAAAGCAATGCGCGCTGGAATGAAGTTGGTGCTCCAACCAACCGACGTTAACCCGGTCATTTATTAACTCCGTTGCTCATGTGGCCTTGTTGGATCAAGTTGCTCGAATAGTGCATTCTGAGTCATGCAAGTCATTCTTCTGCCTTGTGCCTCAACTCACCTTACCGGGTCAGCAGCACGGGGAAAGCATTGCAAGCTGTGCGTCTTGAGGAGGAGCCGTGCCCGCAGTCCTTTCCTAAAAGTCCCTTGTGGCTTTTCATTGGCTCTTGTATGTAGGCAGTTTATGCTGCTCGTGTTGCTCGTGTTCTCGTGCCTCTTTGTTGCTCGTGGAGTGGAGCTTCTATATTGCCGTGACGTGGCTCGTTTTGACTCCAGTACTTCTTCTTTTGTGGTGATTTAGATGCACCACATCCACCACTGTCGGTATTCAGACATTTCTTAGTGAGCTGCACGCGTGTAGTAGGCTTAAAGCCAGGATCTCAAGTACGCAAATTGGCCTTCAATTGCAAAACACTTGCAGCTTTCGTTACCCTATTTGTGTAGGCGAATTGATTGGTTGGTTAGGAAGTTGAATGTGCGACACACCCACTTTTTTGCCCCTGAAGCAAATGCAAAACATTTTGCTGGTGCATGAGATTGTTTGGGGGTGACGAGAAATTGCAGGTGTTGGAGCTTCGTCACCAAACCAGATTCCGTGCCTCCCTGGCTCTGATTCGAACTTGAGATTTGTCTTTAGTTCGCACCCCTCGCTTCACCCCTCGTCAGACTAACCACCTCGTTCACCAATCACAGCCAAGCCCCCATCACCAACTGCAAAACAAATTATCTACATGAGATCCTGGGTTTAAACAAAAGAAACAACAGCGGTGCACCACACCACATCCACCACTGTCGATAGCTGCCACACATGCTGCACCTCATCTTCAGTTTGTATTCCATCCCATGCCATCCCATGCCATCCCATGCCATCCCATGCCATCCCATGCCATCCCATGCCATCCCATGCCATGCCATGCCATCCCACCACATGGCAGGCATGCATGTTGCAACAGCCTGAGTGGCACCATTCCTGCCTCCATAGGCAACCTCACCGCACTCACCAGCCTGTGCGGCTGTTCTCCCTCCATCCCCCTCTCTCCCGTTATTCCTTCTCCCACCTCTCTCCCGTTATTCCTTCTCCCACCTCTCTCCCGTTATTCCTTCTCCCACCTCTCTCCCGTTATTCCTTCTCCCACCTCTCTCCCGTTATTCCTTCACCCACCTCTCTCCCGTCCTCCCTCAATCAACCCCCCTCTCCTCCATTCTTCCTAGGTTTCTAGCTTCCTTTCTCTCCGTTATCAGCAGGAATTCATCGTAACAGTGTATGCCTTTCAGTCAGGTGTAGAAAAGTTTCATGGCAAGTTACATGGTGATCCAAGCACTACCATGTGGCACGAGAATGCTTGGATCTTAGCATCACTAAGTGAAAACAAACTCCGCATTTCTCCCTTCCTTCCTCCATTTTAGCGTACCCGTTCCACTACTCCTCATATGCCTCTCCTTCCCCACTCCGTCCCTCCCCTCGCCTCCCTTCCCCTCCCCGCCCTCCCTTCCCCTCTCCACCTTCCCCCATCCGCCCTCTTCCCATCCTCTCCATGCTCCAGGGCATTCATCTACACCGGTCTCTCAGGCTCCATTCCAGAGGCAATCAGCAGCCTCGATCAGCTACAGGAATTGTGAGTGGTGATGGGGAGTTGTACCTCTTGTTGTACCTTGTGTGATCCCATCCCATCCCATCTCATCTGATACCATCCCATCCCATCCTATCCCATCCATGCAATGCCATGCCATGCCATGCCATGCCATATCTTGACATGCCATCCCATCCCATCCATCTCCTCAGCATTACCCTTTTCATTCTATCAATCAAGATTTCCCTCCCTGCCTTCCAACTCCAACGCCTCTCCACCTTCCCCTCTCCACCCGTCCCCTCACCGCCCTTCCCCTCTCTGTGTTGCCCCACCCTCATCATTTTCCAGAAAACTCAACCTCAACAATCTCTCAGGCTCTATTCCAGATGCAATAAGCGGCCTCAAGCAGCTAAGGGAGTTGTGAGTGGTGATGGGGTAGGCATGCAAGGTGCTGTGGGATGATCAGGTGTGGTAGACTGATAAATCCCCTCACTGAGCAATTGAGTGGAGGGTGAGAGGCCGAGAGAGGGCATGGGTGAGTCTGTGTTGTGTGAATGAAAGTGTGAGTGAGTGAGTGGGTGAGGGGATGAGAGGGATGGGTGATTGAGGGAAGATGAGTCAGCGAGCAAGTGGTGGCATCCCTATGGGCTAATGGCCTGCCCGTACATTCTATCGTGTTACACGAGAATGCTTGAGAATAAATAGTAACATAGCACTACTGTGTTACATGAGAATGCTTTGGATAAAAACAAAGGCAGGTCTGCACATTTCATCATTTCCCTCTCTGCCTTCCACCTCCTATGTCTCCCCTTTCCCTCGCCGCCCTTACCCTCCCCCCAACCACCCTCATCTTGCTCCAGGATACTCAGAGACAACAATCTCTCAGGCTCCATTCCAGAGGCTATCAGCGGGCTCAAGCAGCTACAAAACATGTGAGTGGTGATGGGGAAGGCATGCAAGGTGCTGTGGGATGATCAGATGTGGTGGAATGATAGGTCCCCCTCAGTGAACAAGTGAGTGGGAGAGTGAGAGGCCGAGAGAGGGCGGGCAAGTCAGTGACGTGTGGGTGAAAGTGTGAGTGAGTGAGTGGGCGAGTGAGTGAGTGGGTGGGAGAGGGTTTGAGAGGGTGAGTGATTACGTGGGGGAAGTTAATCATGAGTGACTGGGTGACGCGTGCATGAGTGAGCGAGGGGAGGCATCCCTATGGGCTAGTGGCCTGAACGTCCGTCCCATCTCATCCCATCCCATACCATCCCATACCATACCATATTATACCATCCCATTCCACCCATCCCATCCCAACCCATCCCATCGCACCCCATCCCATCCCATCCCATCCCATCCCATCCCATCCCA